TGGTTTGTGAAGAGAAGTCGGCCGTAATTCTGATGGGTTTTCCTTTGAATGTGATCTGCTTCTTTTCTCTAGCAGCTTTCATTGTATTATTCTTGTGCTGAATTTCTGGGATCTTGACTATTATATGTCTCGGTGTGTTTTTCTTTAGATTGAAGTTAATTTGTGTTCTGTATGCTTTGGTTACCTGAATGTCAGTTTGTTTCCTCATATTTGGGAAGTTTTCTGCTATTCCTTCTGCCTATATTTTTTTTAATGTCATTTGTATTGACTCCTTTCTCATTGATGCCTATTAGTCTCACATTGTTCATCTTTGCATCATCTTGCAGGTGATGGATTATTCTTTCCTGTATCCTCCTTGTTTTAAGAGATCCTTTCTTACCTTTTCACTAGCCGCACCAGCATCTTCAAGATCTGAAACTCTGTCTTCACTTTCACTTAAACAGTTTTGCAAGCTTGTGATTGAGATTTTTATTTCCTCTATATCTCTTTGACTCTGCTTCATGTGATCTATTTCTTTCCTGTATTGCTCATTCAAGTAATCCATCATTTTTCTAATCTCCTCTATTTTTTTCTCAATGTCTTCTTTAGAAGCAGTTATAAATTCTTTTAGTGCAGTGTTTTTTTCAGTTTGGGTTTCCTCCCTATGTTTCTGTAGTTGCTTCTTTACTTCAGATGCTATGAGTTCTGAGAATTCTTTTTTTATTTCAGAAAAGAATTCTGCTCTGAGTTCCTCTATATCTTTCTGCTGTTGCTTATTTACTATCGACACTATTAATTCATGCATTTGTCCTGAGCTTTTGTCCTCTGCACTTGTTCTCGATGGGCATTGTGTTTTCCTCCATATGTTTCTGCATTTGATTTTTTAGTGCAGATGTTATTAATTCAGGGATTTCTTTTTTTTATTTCCAATCTGAGTTCCTCTATACCTTTCTGCAGCTCTTGTTTTATTTCCGAAGCTGTTGATTCATTGCTTTCAGCTGTGTGATTCCCAATTTGTTCTGTGTTAGTGTCCTCTGCACTTGTTTTGTGTAGGCTTGGGTTCTGAAGTTGCATTTTGTTCCTTTTCATCATTTTGTGTAGCACTGTCTTCTTACCTTTGTTGTAGATCTTCGTTGTAATTATAACTTTAGCACTTACTGAAGTTCAGGTGCAGATCTACAAAGTTTGGACTTATCCAGCTGTGCCTGTCTTGGCTCTGGCTGCTGTGCTCAGCTCCTTCCTGCTCCTTCCTTGGCTCTGGCTGCTGTGCTCAGCTCCTTCCTGCTGCTGCCGTTTTCCACACGCGTATGTGCAATATTATTTTTTCATTTGTGTCTTACTTTTCTCTCATTCCTGAGACAAGCAGCAGGAAGGAGCTGAGCACAGGGGTGAACCTGTTGTACGCCTCTGGCAAGATTTCCTGCTCCTGGACTAGCTGGGTGGTTCTATCCTCTACACTCTCTGCAGGGATTACAGCTGCAGGGTTATACCCCAGGCCTGTATGCCTGGCCTGAGCTGAGCCTGGAGGGGACAAGTTGGAGTAGGAGGGAGAGGCAGTTCTCCCACACACTCACTGGGCCTGGGCTAGGACTGAGTCTGCGTTTTCCCGGAACGCGGCAGAAATTCCTACTTGGCGGCAGGGTGGGTAAGGTGCTGCGGAGTGGTTGAGGTCGTCCCAAGGGGGTGGAAGAGGGTCTCACCCACGCTGCGCCTGGGCTGGGAGCAGTAGTAGGTCCCGCCGGGTCAGGGTAGCACTAAGCTCTCCCACACACTCACCGGGCCTGGGCTAGGACTGGGTCTCTGAACTGTATGGATTTTTATTTTCAGCATTTTCTAAATAACACTTTATAACAGCTACTTACATGACAGCCAAAGTTGTGCCATGCGTTACAAATAATCAAGGTGATGTAAAGTTTACAAGAAGAGCCAGCCTTTGTGGTGCACGCCTGTGACCCCAGCACTCAGAACCACTGGGTTCAAGGCCAGCCTGGGTGCACATCAAGACCTTGTATTAAAAATCAAAACAAAAAAAAAAGTATGCAGGAGGACTGTGTAGTTTATATCTGAATACTCTGTTATTTTTTGTAAGGGATTTGAGCATCTGCAGATTTTAGTGTCCAGTTCTCAAGCCATCCAATTCCTGGTGGATGTGAAGAGACTGTTGTGTGATAGGATGTACATGTTTTCCACACGCGTATGTGCAATATTATTTTTTCATTTGTGTCTTACTTTTCTCTCATTCCTGAGACAAAATACCTGATGCCCAAAATGAAGGAAAGGTTTATTTGGCTCACAGTTTGTGGAGTTTTCAGCCTATAACCAGCTGGCTCCGAGGCAGGGTGGCACAGCAGAGGGTGACTCCAAGGGAGTAGAAGACAGCAGAAGCAGTAAGAACCCAGCACAAAAGCAAGCCTCGTTTCCTCCTTTGTATTGTAAGCAGGCTGCCCGCCCTAGGGCAGGTGCAGCGTCACCTCGTCTCTCTGCCCTCCTCTTGCGCAGGCTAAGATGACTGCCGAGGGACCCTGGAACCTGCTGACTGACTTATGTAAACTTCTGAACTTTGCAAGTTGACACAATGAATCAACCACCGTAGGCATGTGCTCTACACTAGCCTGGGTCACTTAGTTACGCTTCTGAACTTGTCAAGTTGACACAATGTGTCAATCATTAAAGCTCCACAGCAAAAGCCAGCTACAAATATTTTTTATTTCTTATCTACTCTTAGGTAAATTTTGTCTTATTTTTTTTCTTGCTTCTATGATAATACCATGTAACCAACTGGAATTGCTGGTATTTGTATACATATAAAGAAATTATTAACAAAGGTGTGTTCTGACATTTGAGCTAGTAAGAGCTATGGAATATTGGTAGTGAATAATTAGATAGACACAAGGGCATTTTTACCTTACAAATTGAGATGTCAGTAATCGATCTGGTGTGACCCCAGTTGATATTAGACAAGAAAAAGTATTGGTGCTACTAATCATTACAATTCCTATCCTGATGCTCAACGAGTTTCTATGCATAGCGAGCGGCACACAGGTGCACATTTATTATTTTTAATAATAGAAAATAGCAATGACTACACGCATTCCTTTGCTCATTCGTTCTCTAGGACTACAGAGTGAACATCTTCCTGAGGCAGAAATGGAACGACCCCCGGCTGAAGCTCCCCAGTGACTTCCGGGGCTCAGACGCACTCACGGTGGACCCCACGATGTACAAGTGCTTGTGGAAACCTGATTTGTTCTTTGCAAATGAAAAAAGTGCCAATTTTCATGACGTGACCCAGGAGAACATCCTTCTCTTCATTTTTCGGGATGGAGACGTCCTTGTCAGCATGAGGTGTTCTTGCATGCCTTTCACATCTGCGCCTTGCTTTTCACTTTCGGAGGCTGCAGAGAAGCCGACCGCGCGAATTCTCACTGCTCCGTCTCTGCCTCCAGGTTGTCCATCACTCTCTCCTGCCCGCTGGACCTGACTCTGTTTCCCATGGACACGCAGCGCTGCAAGATGCAGCTGGAGAGCTGTGAGTAAGCAGACCGTGCCGCCGCGCCCGGGGGACCTGGGGCTTCCCGTGCGCGCTGCTGGCGCTTTTCGTCACACGCGGGTACTAGAGCAGTTGTAGAGACGTCTTGGTGATCTTGTATCATATTAACTTTGGTTAAGGTAGATGCATCCTGTTGGTTCTAGTCTGGTATTAGATCAGCTAGTGTGAGTATACGCTTCTCGCTCATTCCACTTGCCTTCTGCATTTCAATAGTCCGCCGGGGACTGGCAGGGGAGCCCTAATTCAGCTAGCTTCCTTGGTGTTGAAGCCACATTTGCACAGCGAAGAATTTGGAAAGCATTGCACATATTCTGCAAATTCAAACAAGTGTCCATTTTCTGTGGATAGTCAGAAGAAATACAGATTTTTTAACAAAATTTGATTTTAATGATTTGATGAATTTATACATATATATATAATTAGATGGTAAAATTTGCACTAAATGTATTTATTATATTTTCCATAAAAGTATTAATTTGCTGTAATGATTATACTGTATAAATTGAAAAATTAATATTGTGTCAAAAGGAATTTCTAAAAAACTAACCATATACAACCTTGAAGCAGGACAGTCCCACAATATTCCTTTTCCTGTCTCTTGCTTTCACCACCCTCTTCTGAAACTGTCTCATTGCTATTTGTTTCTCAATAAAATTATGAAAAAAAGGTAAAAACCTGACAAAAGAGTATGAAAAAAATAAAATAAAAAGATTTGTCCATAGTGAATTAAAAAAAACCAGGAATTTCTGGTCTTCATACCAATATAGCATGACCTGTTTCTGCAGAGTAAAAAGGAATAATAACATTGTAAGATCTATTGCATATGCTTGTTATAGTATATGCTTCCAGTTATTTCGTGCTTTCTGTCACTTTTTAAAACAGCATATGGAAAATAGATCCTAAGTGTTGACAGTATTTTTCCTTCTAACTATAAAAAGAGATGTTGCACATGTAGGTGTGCACGCACGTTCATGTGCTTTCTGTGTGTGTGCATCTGTACAAATATAATATTTGCCAATATTTGTTTATAGCAAACATTCAAACGTGTCTGCCCACACTAACTCTGTTCACTAGATGGATGAAAGCGTTTCTAATCGCGGGCGCGCTTAGGTCTCACTCATGAGCTGCTTACTGTGCACTGTGCGGCTTCGGCAGTGGCCACGTTTCTCAGAGCAAAATATGTGCTTCAGGTTAGCGCTGTGCTGCTGTGTCAGTGGTGATTGAAATGGTTTTTATGCTTTTAGTTTTTCTTTGCTGTGATATAACTCTGTTTTGAAAATTTGAAGTGATTTTGAAACATTAAATACACAAATGCTTATATTTCTTTTAAAAATGTCAGGTAACAGCTGGAGATATAGTGCAGCAGCATAAGTGCCTGCCTGGCAAGTGCAGAGTCCTGAGTTCAATCCCTGGTACAAAACAAAAAAAAATCAGTCTGATGGTACATAAGTACATTAGAAACCTTCAGTCACTTCTTTCTATTGAGGGTTAAGAATTCAGGTATAGCCGGGGAGATGGCTCAGTGGAAGACACAATTCCCTGGCAAGCACAAGGACCTGAGTTCAACCCCTGGTTCTGAAAAAAAAAAAAAACAAAAAAAAACAATTCAGGTATAGATGAGTCTTTCGTAGACTGTTCTAGGATCCGCACTGTTGCTTACCTACTGTTCCTTAAACTTTTTCACTCTGCAAGATGGTTGTCTGTGCTGCTTATGCTGTGCTTCCTAGCTGACCATCAGCCTGGCGCCTTCTTGTGTGAGCTACAATTTCATACGAAGGGAGCCTTTTGCCTCACTTTTCTACGTTTACTATTCGAATTATGCAACATTAAGGAAAGTATTAAAAAAGTGACTAAGCATTCACAATTGCAGGTATTCAATCTGACACTTGCATTTATTGATTTTTGCTTGTAGTTGGTTACACAACTGATGATTTGCGATTTATCTGGCAGTCAGGAGATCCTGTTCAGTTGGAAAAAATTGCCTTGCCTCAGTTTGATATTAAAAAGGAGGACATTGAATATGGCAACTGCACCAAATATTACAAAGGCACTGGTAAGTGACAGCAATGCGTTTGTTAGTGCCTGTTTGTAGCACATATTGCTTACATCCATCCTGGGAGTTGTGCGTGGGCTCAGCACACTTTGATTCCTTTCTTATTCCCTCTTCCTCTCTGCCTGCTTACTGCTTGTTTCAAAGATTAGTTTTATTATGAATGTATTCTAAGAAGAGAGTAGAAGAAAACTCATTAAAATAGTTTACTGCAAGTATAGTATCTTCAAATTCACATGTTAGATCGTTCATGGAATTTCATTCACTACAGATTTTTTTGTTATTGAACTATGAGATAGAGGGGTCAGGGAGATAGGTTGGTGGTCTAAGCACCTGCCTGCCAGGCTCGAGGACCTGGGTTTGATCCTGGGTTGCTTATAGTTCCTGGCTTTGACGCTGCCTGTGAAAATGAATTATTTTCAATTGAAAGACTTTTGAGAACCTGGGAGGGGGGAAGGAGGAAAACTACAGATGGGAATAACAGGCCTCAGCCTTCTGTCTTTTGTGTATATAAATTGAAAATGCTGGTGTGCTACTTGCTCACGTCTGCTTCCAGTACTTTTCCTACACTTTTCGGTCCAAGCCTACACACCACAATAATGGAACAGCGGGCGGGATCTCCGTTTCAGGGTCAGGACGGAGCCGTAGCAGCTCAGGGGAGTGCGTTCCACGCGTCTCTTCTTCAGAGCGCGTCCTTAAGGAAAAGCTGCCGTGTCCAGCGGCTTTGCTGAGCCCCAAGACGGCGGCGCCTTGTGCCTGCGGCTGGTGGGTTCGCAGTGCGCGTGTGTTCCGGCTCACCATGCGATGTGTCTGTCTCTCCAAGGCTACTACACCTGTGTCGAGGTCATCTTCACGCTGCGGAGGCAGGTCGGGTTCTACATGATGGGGGTCTACGCGCCGACGCTGCTCATCGTGGTGCTGTCGTGGCTGTCCTTCTGGATCAACCCTGACGCCAGCGCTGCCAGGGTGCCGCTGGGTAAGGCGCGCCAGCCTGAGGCCGGACTGAGGGACGAGGCAGGTTGAGCATCCCCAACCTGAAATTTAAAGTGCTGCAGAAGGCAAACCACTTGGAGTTTTCCCGTGGAGCTGACAGTAGGGTCTTCCATGTCTGGCTTTCTGTGATAGGTGGCAGTCAGAACACACTGGGCTGAAAATGTCGTATAAAACTCCCTTAAGGTGCCCATGAAGTGAGTTTTGTTTCTAAGACATGGGTCTCCTGAGGTATCTCCCTATGTACAGGGAAGCATTCCAAAGCCAAAACAATTCTGAAGCCTGGAGCACGTTGGGTCCCAAATGTCTCCGGTAGGGGCAGCGTGACCTGCACACTGTTTCGGCGGCTGTGCCGGCTGTGGCGGCCTTGGCAGTCAGAGGCAGCCCCGTTTCCTCGGATGGGTGCTTCCTTTCAAACGTGCTGCTGAACTAGATTTTATCAGGGTATGCAGATCTGTGATCAGGTTAAATTTCTCTTTTTGTGCCGCCTTAGGGTGTTTTTCCCCCCCAGGGTGTTTTAATGACTTACTCTAGCTTAATTTTGTCATTAAATAGTTGTTGAATAGTGATTTTCACTGATTACTGAAGTTCAAATCTTCATGAGTGCCAACACGAAAAATCAAGTAACTATTTTGAAGCGAATCCTTCAAAGCCGTAGCATATGTGGCCTGCATTCAGTCGGGGAACACGGCTGCACACCTCGTGACACCTGGGTCAGTGGCGAGCTCTGTGTGTTGTGTCCTGGAGGGACGCTGCATGCTTGCAGCACAGACCGAGATGAACAATGGGCTTAGCCAAGGCTGGAGCGCGTACATACCGTGTAGCCCACGGACAGCAGAGGGCTGTGCCACACAGCCAGGCCACAGAGCAGGTACATGTCACGTGTCCCAGGAGTACCGCTGGTGCACCACCCCGACTCGTGTACGCATGTTCTACGATGTGCACAAAAGGATAATGCCAGCTGATGAGCGTCTCCCGAAGCAGAGCCCTTTCCAGGCACTTCTCAGAGCATGATCTGTTTGGTGACTAATTGTGGTAGTGATACATTTTCTAAAAACTAACTCAGTGTCATTAAGGCGCTGACTGTCTCTCCCTCGGGGCACAGCTCTCCAAAGCATTGTTTCTAAGCTTCTCCGTGACACAGAAAGAGCATGCGCCAGGCTTGGGGAGACTGTGTGCCCGTAAGGGTTGAAATGACGGCTGAAACAGGCACGCAGTCCTAGTCAGCTCCAGAATACGGCATCTTCACTTTAACTTCTGACTGTTTTAGAGTGCCTTAAGGTTTCTGTTCGTGGCATGTTTCCTATCACCCGCAGCTCATACGGATGAGCTGAGACACACGTGACCCTCAGTGAGGAAACCACACACACACACACACACACACACACACACAAACGCACGCACACACACCCACACGCATGCACACATGTACACATTACAATTTGCAAAATATGTTTTAACTTATTAGAAGAATGCCTGCTTTGTGCCATCAGGAAGATGGGGCAACATAGTGTAGCAAAATAAACTGCGGATAGTTAACAATTTTTTTTATATTTTAATTCAGTTTAATGAGAAAAAAAGATAAAACAGCAGTGAAACAGTTTCAAAACAGGTTAGTAGGAAGGTTACAATAGTTAATACATTGCATATAGCTGTCTTCATAGTAGTGATTCAGAGGACAAGATGCAGACGTGATTTCTTGTCTACACACTAGTAATACAAACTTTTCTTGTCATCGAACTAAAAGCAAGCTGTATATCCTAACTCTCTTACTTTGTTATGAAAACTAAGAAGGGGCCAGAGAATAAGGAGAGAGCGTGAGACCTGGGCAGTGATCAAGGTGTGTAATCGTGGGAAGGGAAGGGGTACAAAAGCCGGCAGTAAGACGTATTAGATAGGATTAAGGTAGAGGAGGGGCAAGATATGCATAGGTGCACTGCATATAAGATTTGAGAAATGGGGTGGACTGTGAGGTTCTTTTTGTTTTTCTGAAAAACTAGAAAATCGACATTAAGTGAATTGGGCGACAAGGCTACAAGGAAAAGTGGATTTGAGAAGGGGGGCAAAAGTGTTTTATTTAGATCCAACAGTTGAAGATGATCCTAAGGAGGAGGATTACATAGGCAAGGGGATGTCTTTATCTTGGGCTTCATGGGGATTTCATACCTGGAGCATGAACCTCAGGTGTGTCCAGAGTTAGCTGTCTTCACAGAGATGGCGCTCAGTGGGATCACAGGGGATGAGTGTTGGTGGAGAAATCTTCTTTGGAAAAGAGCAGCAGCCAGCGGGGTGTGGTGTTGCAAAAGCCAGAGGGTGTCTTCATTACTCTTACTTCACTGCTGAAAGAAAATACCTGACACCTAGTCAAAGGTGGGAAGGTTTATTTAGCCCACAGTGTATGGAGGCACCAGTCTTTAGTCAGCTGGCTCTAAGGCAGGGTGGTAAGGCAGAGGGGCAACAGTTCAACACTGCAGAAGACATCAGAAGCAACAAGAACCAAGGGAGGGAGCATGCGCCTTTTCCTTCTCTACGCTGTGTGCAGGCTACCTGCCCTAGGGCACTGACTCTCCGACCTTCCCTTGCACAGGCTCAGGACACTGCTCCCAGCTGAATTGCATGGCTAAACTTCCAAAGGTGACACGACGAATCAACCATCCCAACGTCCTGGAGCATAATCAACTGCCCTAGGGAATGTTCTCTATCTCCTAGATGTAGAACTGCTAGGTCTCTCAGTTAAGTTTCAGAATTTCTCATTGACACATTGTCTCAACCATTACACATGGAGATTGTGTCTACATGAAATGTGTCTGGCTCGTTGCTCAGAGTTTAGGGCTGATGCTTGGCTTTCCAGTAAGCAAGGAAAAGAGGAGGCTCACTGAAGTTGTCAGGAGGGGAACTCAGAGAGGACCTTGGAGAGAGCAGGAGGGGAGAACTAAAGACATTCCCTCTACAGAGCTTGCTAGCTGGCAAAAGAAAAAGAGTAGGGACCTTGGGAATGGGTTGAAGGGTTTCTTCCTCTATTATTTAATTGAAACAGCATATATGAGGTACTCCATGATGTTTCTGTCATGGATGTGCTAAGGTAGACAAAATCAGAGTATGTTTAGTTTTGATAGTGGAAAATAAAACTGTAGAGAAGGAAAAAGTGGAAGATGGACAAAGCATTTGAGAAAGGGAGAGGGAGCACCAAGGAGATAGCTCGGCAGCAGAAGCACCTGCCTGGAAAGCACAAGGTCCTGAGTTTGAAAGTGAGAGGGCATTTGATCCAGGAAATAGAAAACCTGGCCTTACCCAGAAGCAAAGTTGATTTGCTGCAGGGCTTGGCCATGCTACAAGGTGTGAGGTCTGTGGGTGCCGTGCTTTCTGCTGTACCACTGCTGTTTCGTACTCTAATGCAGCCAAAAATAATGGGTGACTGAGTGGATGTCGGTGTGCCAGTGCAACTTTACTTCTAAATATAGGTGATGAGTCAGATTAGGCCAGTGGGTCATAGGTTACCGGCCCATGGCCTATAGCAGTAGACATTTTGATGGCAAATCTGTGAGTGCTTTCTGTGGTGCACACATCCCACTGGGGCACGTGTGCTGTGGGTTTCTGAGCACTGGTCCTTACCGTCAGCTGTGAAGGCAGAGTGTGTGGTCCCAGGAAGAGTGGTAGCTGGGTAGAGATGGTCCTCATGGGTCCATATTGCTCCTGCTTTGTCAACAACACAGGAATTCACATGTGGCAAGTGAGATGGGGTGGAATGTTCTGGAGAAAAAAAGTAGCTACGGGATGAATGGTGGGGAAGCCCATTGTGACTGTGTCACGGGGTGATAGACTTCTGGTTTTAGTGATTTAGGAATGGAATAGGAGTTCAGAGTTTTCAAATGAAATCAGGCCACATGTTGGCATGCTCATCTTGAGCATACTCATTAAGTGACAATTAGAGGGCAGCACTTAGTTATTCATGATGCTGCATGGTTGCTCTTCGGTCCTCTCTTCTGGCTAAAGTGGTGCTTCACAGTACAGCTAGAACCTTTGCTTTCTACTCAAGGACTGATGGAAGTTTGAGTTGTTCCCAGTTTGGACTGTTGGAAACACCATTATGGTGAATAGTTGTGTACAAGCTTCTGTGTTCTTATCACTTCTGGGTAAATAGCTAGTGATGAGGTTCAGGGCTCTTGTGGCAAGAGTATGTTTTACTTGTATATCATATTGGCGAAGTTCTAGTCAGTGTGGCAGGATTATGGACCGTGAGCTGCAGGTGAGATGATGGAGGACGTCGTGTGGGCACAGACGAGGAATGGGGACGGATGCAGCATGGGGAGCGCTGCTGGCAGGGCAGAAGGGAGCGTTCTAAAGGCTAGTGGTGCTACACGCTGTGCTTCACGTGTCACAGACACTTGCTGTCCTTGCATTATCATAGCATGTAGGGACATGATGGAGGTAGTCAGGGACTGAAGCCTTCTTTCTGGGTGCAGAAAGAACTATTTGAACCACTTAGCGTTGCCTGCAGTGGTAGTTGTGAGTTTTCTGTTGATGTCTTAATCGGACAGAGAAAGTTGTATTCTGTCAATGTTTTTTGGAAGATTTATTTCTTCCAAAGAAATAAATGGGATTTCTTTGATGATGGGATTGAGGGATGATGGGATTTTTCACCTACTTTTCTATATACATTTTCATGTTCATATATGGTACGTTCTCTTGTTGGGTGAGGTATACACACAGATCTCTAGATGGCTGATGAATTGTGGATTATCAACACAAAGTGTTTATAATACTGCTTTTCTTTTAATATCTGGCTGTAGTGATCTAATATCTGATGTGGTGATGTCCAGCTTTTATTCCTGATACTGTTAAATTATTATTATTTTTTGATCATTCTACCTAAGCTTATTAACCTCACTGATTTTTTTAAGAGTACCCATTCTGATTAATTGATTTTCTCCCATTGTTTATTTTCTTGTCCTTAATATTACCTCTTACATTATTTGCTTTCAACTTGCCCTTGATTTAATTTTTTGACTTAATTTTCTCTTTCTCATGTTAATATTTTTGTAACTGCAGATTGAAACTGGGTCCTAGCATCGAGGCACAGCTTAGCCTTTTTTAGTTTGACTCAGCACCTCACTAATTCACTAAACTCCCCAGACTGTGCTCAGACCTGTGCTCCTTGTGTCTCAGAGGCATATGTCACTATCCCTAGCTAACAGTTCACTTAATATTCTCAGTCAAAAAAGACGATAATATTCATCACGGTACTTTTATGACTTTCTGTCCTCTGACACTATGCTCTACTTCATCAAAAAATGTCTACTCTGTTAGGGTAAATATTAAAGTATGCAATGAAGTTTAGTAAGAGTTGATATTTTTAGGTTCTTAATAAACATGAAATGTCATGAAAACATGGGGAACAATGGCACCATGGTCGGTCTTGAGAAACTAAGTCTGGCATTTATTTATCAGTCTATTTTATTTATTTATTTATTTATTTATCGAATTTATCAATACACTGACTCAGAATTTCACAAAATAGAACAATGGGTTTTATTTTTGTTTATTTTAATAATTTTATTATTAGTAGTAGTATTTGGGACAGGGTCTACAGGGTCTCACTGCATGGATGAGAAGCGTAGTGATCCTCCTGTTCTCAGCCTCCCAAGTGCTGGGATTACAGGCACACACCACCAGGCCCAGTCTCACTCCTCCTCTCAGTGCACCCCGGGGGTGTGGCTGGCTCAGTGATCCAACTCTCGGCCCCTGCGTGTGCCTAAGCAGGAGCTTTAATGCACTGAGCTCTTTGGTCGGCCCCAGAACAGTGGGCTTTAGCAGATGCTTTGCCCAGTAAATGCCCATGAGTTTAGCAAGAACTGAGAAGATCATAGACTTGTATGTCCCTTCCCATTTCCAGGTTGGAAAACATTAGGGCTTATAGTACATTTTTTCAATTTGTATTTTTTTTTAAAGAAGACAAAATAGCAATTTAAAAAAGCATTAGGAATGTTACAAAACTATAGTACTCTAAGAAATGCGATCAAAGCGGATTTCAGACAACAGAAATACATTCCTTTCTCTAGATAGGAAAAAACAATATTGTGAAAATGCCCATACTCCCAAAATTGTTATAGAGGTTCAGTGCAACTCCAGTTAGCATACCATTAGTGTCCCTCACAGACCTAGAAACGATCCTGGGCAACAAAGGAGAGGCGGGAGGCATCACAGCCCCTGACTTGAAATTATACTACAAAGCTACTGTGATAAAATCAGCATGGTACTGGAAAAACAAACGGACCTGAGGATGGAAGAGATTAGACACTCTAGGCACATGTCAATTTGTGTTTTTTATGAGCACATGTTTGAAGTACAGAGTGACGGCATTCCTCAGAGCAGTGGCTCCTGCACAGGAACAATTCCAAGCATCTTTCCGTCCCTTTCCTCCCTCCTCCTCCTCCTGCCTGCCTCCCTCTCTTGACCCCCTTTCCATGTAAACATGTTTTCCTGCTTCCTTGTATCTTTCTTTATTTTGCTTTTTATTTATATTCTGTGTTTCTCATAAAAGATAAACCATGTGGTATTTAAGACTGTGTATCTGACTTTTTAGAAATTACCATCATGGCCTCTAGGACCACCCATTTTCCTACAGATAACTCAAGATTGCCCCTGTTATGTCAGAGCAGTACTCCAAGGTGTGTAAATATCGTATTTTCTGTCTTCATTAGTTTGAAAACTATTGTGCTCACTAATCTTAGTCTTTTTCTAGGAGCAGCAATAATTCCTGTAATAAAAGTGACCTCTTGTCAAGTCACTGTATATCCTATATGGTTCTCATCTGCAGAAAGCATTGTGCTGTCCTCAACCCCTATTTGTTCCTCAGACTGTATTTGAGACTCTTGGACAGTTACTTCAAAAGCGACTTGACCCTTTGCAGAAGCTATAGGCTCCAATACACTTTTCTTTTAAATGTTTTAACCGATTTTTAATAATGATAAAGTGCTGACCATATCACGGGAAGGAAAACGAGAGCTTGGCACACCTTAAATTGTTACAACAAACTACTCACTAAATCTTAGAGAAGGGAAATTACGGTCAGCCGGGAATGTGCACCACACGCTGAGCCGCGGGGGACCCGTTGCCCACTCAACTGGAGTGCAGGTCGCTGGGTCCCAGTACTCCCCAGCCAGAGCCAGCAGGGCCTGCAACTCCACATCCTCTCTGAGAATACAACAGAAGGGAACGTGTTAGTTTCCACGTGCGGATAATGTTATGTAGAGCGGAATTTTATTCCTTTCCTAATAAAACCGGAATCATTTAATTTTTGTTCCTGAAGTAACTGGGAATATTTTCTACTTTGACTTCTTTATTAGATTTTATTATGGTGAAAATAATTCTTATCAGAAAGTTGCCTTGTATGTTCTATTTCCCATTCAGACATAGTTGCTCACTCATGGGTGTAAATTCCCTGATAACTGAAATCTTTCTAAAACAAAGGTGAAAACTTAAATCATAACCCTCATGAGAGGGCTTTATGGCTTCCTCAGAGGTACTATAGCTATCTTTAATATAAGATAGATTGAAGTTCTGTTCTTATATCTTGCTTAAATTTCCATTTATTTTCTACATGATATAGAGTGAGCACCATTCCTAATCCTAATCTATAAGCCATGCCCTGAAGCTCACCTCTTGGGCTGAGGGTAAGGTGGAGCACTCACCAGGGGTGGGAGGCCCTGGGTTCTGCCCCCACATAGCACACGAGGCACACGCCACGTGCCAGCTATGCCGTCTGTCGTGGCACCCTAGGCACCTCAGGAATTCTCTGTGTCCCTTGAAAGTTGCTGGATTGGAGGATTTTGGGTAAGAGCAGCGATGCAAGCCACCTGTGGTGGGGACACGGGCTCGACACCCCGCCCTCCCTGTGTCCACAGGCATCTTCTCCGTGCTCAGCTTGGCCTCCGAGTGCACCACGCTGGCCGCCGAGCTCCCCAAAGTGTCCTACGTGAAGGCGCTGGACGTCTGGCTCATCGCCTGTCTCCTCTTCGGGTTCGCCTCCCTGGTGGAGTACGCGGTCGTCCAGGTGATGCTGAACAACCCCAAAAGGGTGGAAGCGGAAAAGGCCAGGATTGCCAAGGCCGAGCAAGCCGAGGGCAAAGGCGGGAATGCGGCCAAGAAGAACACCGTGAACGGGACCGGGACGCCCGTGCACATCAGCACGCTGCAGGTGAGCGTGAGCCCCACGACGCCCTTCTTGGCGGCCAGCGGCAGCTGCGGGAGCTCCAGCTGGTTGGCCGCTGGCTTGTGTGGTGGGCAGAGTCAGCTCCTCTCTTTAGACCCCTTCGCGTGCTTCTGGGGTCGTCGCTTCTGCTGCACGACTGGACGCCCGGTTTCTTTCTACAGTGCAGGTGCTTGTTTCCTTACCAAATATAAGCTTAAAGCCTCCGAGAGGAAGGGAAGCTTGCTTGGGTTTTGCTTAAGGTGACCTTTACTTCGTTGTGATATTCTGGGCATGTCTCATTATTTTCTTTATGTTTACAGAAGGACGTTATCCATTATCTTGGGTAGATTTGCTGGTAAGATCTCTTGGGTTTTTGTCTGCAAATGTCTTGATTTCTGTCTCCTTTCTGAAGGACGCAGGCACGCACAGTTCCGTCGGGTGCCTGTGGCCCAGCAGGGCCTCTGCCTTTTTCTCTGACGCTGTTGCTTCTCCTGAAAAGGGGTGTCCTGATTGCTTTCTTCCCCTGCAGATACAGTGTTTTTCAGGGTCTTAAAAAAGGACGTGTGTGATTCATGATCAGAAGTGTAATTACAGTGTGTCTTTTTGTGGACATTTTTGGGCCAATCTTTTTTTTTTTTTTTTTTAAGTTGCATAGTTTATTGAAAATGTAGGTTTATATTACTTGCAAAGTTTACTTTTCTGTTATTTCTTTTGCATACTTTTTCACTCTTGCCTCTTTCTTCTTTATCTTTTTTTATATTTGAAAATTTCATTGATAAACAGATAGCAATGAGACAGTTTCAAATCAAATCGGAAGTACAGTTTCAACAAATAACACACTGCATATATTCTTCTTAGTGGTTAATTGCTGTACAAGATGTGGACTTAAGATCCTATTTACAAACACCATTAGAACAAATCATTCTATTCATTAAGAGAATATAACTATATATCTATCCTAACCACTTTGAATACACAGATACAAAATGCATATTCATCTGTATATCCCATTTTTTCTAAGTTCCGTTAATGAATATTATAGGTGTGTAAACTCAGCAAAATATTCTAAAAGAGTCCAGTAGACCATAATAGCATTGGGTCTTCTGTTTAACTGGCAATGTCAGAAATTATTGACCTGAGTCCCCCACAGCTCAACATAATAGCATGGCTTTACTTCCTATATTTCGTCTTCATACTTTTCTACTGGATGGTTAAGACCAAGGTAAAGCAAGACCTGTGCAACAAGAGTTGTAGCTTTTTGGTCTGAGAAGGTCAGTGAAATGCCCTCAGGATTTATCCTGAGATCCTGTAACTCAGATTGTAGAACCTTTGTCAGTGTCAGCCATGTGGATGAGTCACGGCCATTGCTTGGCCAATGTGCTCTCTGTGAAAGCCTGAGAGAGTGTTTTCTCCCATGTGACACTCCTTAAGCACACTCTACGTCGTCGATCACTTTCCTCTTTGGCCCCATAATCTTCTTGATCAGAAAATTTGGGACACTACCGAGGTACATGACATTACAGTACAGGTTCTCATATGTCCTGAGTCTTAATTGACCTTAGAAGGTTATGGCCAAAATGTTGGCTTTCCTTGTAGCCCTCTTTTTTCTTTAATTTTGGTCTGCAAACTTAGGTTGTTAACCATCCAGAAGACAAGCTTATTGTTATTATCAAACAATTTAGGCTATTAAGCTTAACCTCACTATCTCACTGCATTTCAAAAATCTTAGGCATAATAAGGAGCAGGTATTTTTCATCAAGTATTGATATGTTGAACTTTAAGTCCCTGCATAATATGATAAAAAAACATTGAAAAATTACATTATATTTTAAAAATAGGATAAAGAATTATATACTTCTCGTGTTTGCATATAAGTCCTTTCTTCTTTATCTTAAGGGCTCCTGTGACACAAATGCTAGAGCCACTGTTAAACCTCTATACCTTGGGCTTTTATTCATTTTTACTGGTTGCTTTTCTTCACTTGGTTATCTTTTTATGTTTTTGGAACCGGGGATTGACCTCAGGCCTTTGTGATTGCCAGGGAAGCGCTTATTCTGCTGCGCCATCTCCCCGGCCCCAGTTATCTTTTGTTATAATGCACAGTTCAATGATGCTTACCCCAGTTTAATCCATCAGATTTATCATTTGCTTATAATACATTTTCAGCTCTAAAATTTTCATTTGGTGTGTATATATGTATCTATGTGTGTACACATGTGTGTGTGTATGTGTGTATGTATGTGTGTATGAGACTTAGTAACTTTTGCTGTTACCTTAACCAAATACCCAACATCCAAATTAGAGGAGGAAAGGTTCACTGTAGCTCAGTTTGTGGAGGCTTCAGTCCGCAGTGGGCTGGCTCCAGGGAAGGGTAGCCTGGCTGAAGAGAAAGAGTTCATGGTGGGCAGAAGCCAGCAAGGCAGCAAGCAGCAAATAGCTGGGCAGTAAGCAATAGCAGCAGCCCTCTTCCTGCCCTTTATACTCCCTGCAGGCTCCAGGCCCTCCCTTGGGGCCAGTGGCGCCCCCAGCAGGCGGGCATTCCTATTATTCACCCTCAGAACCCTGCCGCACTAGTCGGTGGATTAATTTATTCAATCCCCCGTTGTCCCAGCATCCATTCCTTCAGCCAGCATTGCACATGCTCAGTTCAGCCACCTGTGAAAGCCCCCCTAGGAGTTGGAGGATCCAGACACAAGCC